AGGTGTCAATTTCTTCTAGGAAGCCCTAATTCCTCCTTCCTCCAGGCTAAGCCCTTACAGCAGAGTTATCATCACACTTGCTTCATGATATTCTGTCACTTACCTGTCGGGACCAAGTTCTTTGAGAATAAAAGCTTTTCTTTTCTTTTTAAGATTTTATTTATTTCACAGGAAGAAAGAGCACAAGTAAACGGAGCAGCAGGCAGAGGGAGAGGGAGAAGCAGGCTCCCTGCTAAGCAGAGAGCCCAATGTGGGGCTCGATCCCAGGACCCTGGGATCATGACCTGAGCCAAAGGCAGATGTTTAACCAACTGAGCAACTTAGGCACCCGGAGGGCAAAAGCTTTTCAACTCTACACCAAGCGCTGAGTTTAGCACACAATACGTGCGCAATAAACGAACAAATCAATTTTAAAACTTGTCACACTGAAGCTCCAATATAAACGGCTAAAACACTGCAATCTTATTATGATTTAAAACATGGTTTTCAGGAGCAACTGGGTGGCTCAGTCAGTTAAGCATGTGCCTTCAGCTCAGGTCAGGATCCCAGGGTCCTCCCTCTCCTTCTGCCCCTCCCCCAAGTTGTGCTCATGCTTTCTCTCTCAAATAAATAAAATCTTAAAAACAAAAAAACACGGTTTTCAAATGTTTTTTAACAGCAAACCTTTTTGTAAAAATCGTATCAGAAACCCCAGTGTGGAAAAGCAACATATCAGTCCTTCGGTGGTTTAATCTCAGTTTGACAAAAATACCTCACTTTAAGACCTGTAAGCCTAGGACAGGGAGTAGCAGAGCAGAGGCAAGCGCCACTGTGACTCAGGCATCTAAGTAACATTCTTCCTTCCGTATCTTCATCTTGCATCAGTCTCCCCCTCTCCTTCCTAGAAAAGGATCTGCCCTTAAGAGCACACATCCATCTCTGTTGATGGTGGGGCTTAGGAGTAGACAGACTGGGGCTGCTTCATGAGCTTTAGAGTTCTGGTTGCTAGTTACAACAGTATTTTGCTGGAGGCCTTGCTAACTTCTGAACAAGCAGAAACATGCACTGAATCAAATGTGCAGGCCTATTCTATAAGTCTCAATGAGATAAAAATAACCTACATGTCATAGTATGTGGCTATGAACAAATTACAACAGGATACAGTATCATGGCGTTCTAGATGACTCCACAGAGCCTCTTTACTGCATACAGACCTTCCCCTAGCTACCTCCCACTCTCATATGCAGATTTGGTAAGAAGCAACGAGGCATAATAGAAAGGACATTCATGAGCTTTGGAGCCAGTCATACCAGAATCTGAACTGTGGACCACCACTTACTAGATGGACAACCTTAGGAACATTACTTCTCTGCTCTTCAGTTTCCTCATCTGTAAAATAGAAATAGTAGCTACCTCATTAGGATTGTGAAAATTAAATAAAATCATGCACGTATAGTACCTAGAAGAGGAGGCATTCAATAAATGAATACTATTGTTAATATTATGCAGATTTAGCTTTAGTCAAGAAACAAAAAAGAGGAAAACAAATGTTTTTGGCTTCAACCTATAAAATTGAAAATCAACAGAGAAAACAAAAAAAAATTTTTTAAAGAAAGAAAATTAAATACAAAAAAAAACACCCTCAATGGGCATATTTGTTTTTATACCCAAGACAAAATAGCTGAGGATACACGTCATTTTCTGGTTGCCACAGGCCTTTACCAAACTTAGTTCATTCAAAGAACCCACTGCCCTGATTTTCTTAACCAAACTGGCTGCCCCAAAACAGTAACTAGACTCCCCAGAAGTGTTAGCAGCTCTGAGAGAAATTACACCCTGAAGTCTTTCCATATAAATAGAACACTGTGTATTCATAACAGACTGCAAAATTGTTCTAAGTCAGAACTATTCGGGCACCCAAATTCAAACTCATTTACCTTTAATTATCTGAAAGGTAAGCAATCTCCATCCAAAGGGCTAGGTTTCAAGAAACCCCTGAAAATGTAAGCAACAGTGTTCTGTGGAGAGAGTCTATAAGCTTTCATCAAAATGTCAAAGTTGTTTGTTACCCAGAAAAGGTTAAGAATCTCTTTTAAGATGCTCAACAGAGCTTCTGAAAAGTTCATACTGGGAAGCTGAGGACAGCATATCTCAAGGCAAGTATCTTGAAGTGCCAATTTCATAAACTATTCATACTAGATTATGTTATAAAAATTCTAAGCATAAAAAAAAAAATTCTAAGCATATTCCTCCCTCACCAGTAGCACTTTTCACAGCAGGGTTTATCCTCTCTCATCCCCCACCATCCCTGCCACCCTCCATCATGTCCCATTCCTTGCCAGGCCCCATTCCCTGCCTCTTTGCAGTCAAAATCCTCTGCCTAAAATGGCTTTATGAGCCTGCCATGCAATAATGATGCCTAGAGGCAGGTTCCAGTTTATATTCCAATTCATTATTGCCAACATTCCCCTTCATTTCTGATTTGTCACTTGAACACTAAGTACAAATGAAGGACACTGGTCAACCTCCTTTCAGTATTTTTATAAACTTAAAATACTGTATGAATTTATTAATTAAATTCAAACACAACTGCACTGATATATTTTGAGGAACTGGAGATTTAACCAAGCCATAGAAAAAGCAACTCCAGCCTTGCACTCCAATCTCAAAGCTTCGTGTCTATCAACTTACCACATGATGACCACTTTCATCAAACAAATGTAAATTCCCACACTCACTCAGGGTAGAAAAGCAGAAATGCTCTGTTTCAATCCATTTTAACCAATTCCCCATTACCACTGGTAACATTTCATCATTAGTATATTCTAATGAAATCTGTAACCTATACCTCATTTACTATACAAACTTAGATTTTACTAATTGAAACCTTTCAGTGAGTAAAGCAGTAAGATAAAAGAATTGTGAAATACATCAAGAATTTTAATTTCTTCTATGACATGAGACAAAGTAAAAACTTAAAGCCACATAAAAACCAACTATCCCATATTACTACAAATAGATGTAAGAAATCATCTCCACTGGAAATTACACCTTAAATTTATGCCCTTTAACAATTGTTGCAGTACTAGTAACTACTTCTGTGTTGCAACCAACTCAGAGCTTTTATAAATCCTTCCTTTGTGAAACGCATTAAGAAAAAGCACACTTGAAACACTAAGTCACAACTCTTTGTGTCCAAATAAAGCCACCAAATTCACCAAGCACTGGTCCTCACTTATCACTTTGTACATCAAGAACACACACCATGGGCTTCCTTTCAATGCTTAATTGCCAAAATAGCTCCAAAATACAGATAATGAAAAATTTACTTGGTGGCACAGTACATAAACTTATAGCCCTAACCAAGTATGGGCAATCAAGACCAAAAAAAAAAAAAAGACAAATGAGAAAGGAATTCAAACTCACAAAGCATTAAGTGAAGATATATTTTAGAGATCCAGCACTGAACTCCACCTTCAAGTAGGCAAATCAGCCAATTCTTTTTCCCCCAAAAGTAAAGCAACTAGGGATACTGATCAAAACCAACCAGATTTTCCAGGAGCAACACTAAGATATCACTAAGCATTCTCATCTGTGAAAAATTCTTAAATGAACAGAATCATGCAGGATAAAAACATTATGAAATCAGTACACACATCACACTGCAATGGAATTTATCCTTACTCTGCGACACATCGCCTGGATTGAATAACAATATTTAAAGAACAGAGAAAATGACACTTGACAGAAACCAAAAGATGACCTGAAATGACTCCAGAAGGGAGATATCTTTCCCTTCTCAAAGTAATCGATACAGACAGGAATCAAACTACAGACTGTGAAATCATCCATGGACTTCATGGCAGTTATTTGCTCAAACACCCTACTCTCTCTGGAAGTCGAACACAAAATGACACAAATACAAAAACACAACACATCTAACATCCAATGGTTATTTATTGATTTATATAAATACAACGGATGGGGGGAAAAAAAGGTGCATGATGAAATGTTATTCTCAGGTAGGTAATACCTTTCTAAATCTCCGCGGAATTTATGAATTCAACGTTTTACCTTCACCGGCTAGTTTCTGACTAAAATACCTGGTCAAGTCTTTTCAATCAAAGCTGTCCAAAAAATTCTACAATCGAGCAAATAACATGAAATTAGATACATTCAATACTAGACTCTCCTCCAGAAGCCCTGATCCCCTCTAGACATCAGGCCTACGAAGAGAAAATTAAAGCCTTTAAAAATACCCATCATAACACAAGCCTTCCAAGAAGTGAGACTTTTGGGGGTGATGGGTAATGTCAGTTAACTTCCTCTTCCTTTTAAAAGGTCAAAGACAGGGAAGCGTCCGGTGTAACATTTCCTCCTCAAATCACGTTCCACCACAAGCAACCTAACTCGCCCCCATCGCTAAACATTAGCCACAGGGGGTGCTTTCTGTACATTTTCACCATAGATTTAAAATCCGACTTACCTCAGACACGAACTGAGCTTAGCTTCAAACAGGAAATTTACCATTAAAGTTTATTATGTACTAATAATAACAATTAGGGAAGCCCACCAGGCCCTGCTGCAGGGGGAGAAGAGGAGGAGCAGGAGGAGGAGGAGGAGGAGGAGGAGGAGGAGGAGGAGGGTGTAGTCCTCACAACAATCAGAAAAGCCTTCCCTGCAGGGCTGGTCCCAGGCACCAGCAAATTCGGCCTAATAAAGGGGGGCGGGGGGAGGCGAAGAGGGGGGGAAGGGTCCCCCAGATCTAAAAGGGAAGAGCTGCAGAGGCCAGGCCGAGCGGAGCTAGTTTTCACAGTACTGCAGAGGGTCCCGGGGTCCCCCGCAGCGCTGCTGCCGCCGGAGCACCCCAAAAGCTCCGGCCGAGCCGGCCGCGGGGGCTAGAGCAGCAGCCCCTAACCCGGCTGGGCTGTGGCGGCCGGCAGGAGGGTCCCCGGGGAGCCACGGCCGCCCCCCGGCTGCGGCGAGATGCCGAAGGGCCGGCAGGAAGGTGAAAAGGATACTGTTGGGGCGCCTGGGTCTGGAGGGCCCTGATGTTCGGGTGAGGAGGGGCCGCTGCCGCCGCCGCCGCCGCCGCTGCCGCCGCCGCTGCTGCTGCCGCCGGGTGAGGAGGCGGTACCGCTGCTGCCGCCGCCGCCGCCGCTCCCGTGCCGGGTCCGGTTCCTGCTGCAGCCGCTGAGCCTGATTTCAGAGCCGGTTTCTGCGGTAAACTCATGGCAAAGCGAAGCCACCAACCCCCCCAGAGCGGGACCGGGCGCGCCGGGGTGCAGGGGCCGGGGGCAGCGGGGGGGCGGGATGGGGGCAGACCCGGGGAGGCGGCGGGAGCGGGGGGCCGGGGGGAGGCTGGGAGGAGGAGGAGGAGGGGGCCGGGGCCGGTCACACACGCCCGCCGCCGCCGCCGCCGCCGCCGCCGCCGCCGCCGCCGGCAGCAGCAGCCGCCCCGCGGGCCAGCACCACCGGCTGCCGGTCTCCGTGACAACGCGACCCCAGGGGGGGGGCCGGACCCGGCGGGGGCAGGAGGCGGAGAGACCGGACCTTTCACGGCAATATCCTCATGGGCCGGCGGCGGGGGGTCTTTATCCCCCTCCCCGGGGGAAGCGGCGCCCTTCTCGGTAGCGGGGCTCAGGCGATGCCGGCGGATTTTCTTCACTCAACGAGCAGAGCATCCAACATGGCGTTGCGGCCGCCTCCAGCAGTCCGGCAGGACGGCCGCTCGGAAAACTTCGGGCCTTTTCGGAGAGGCTCGGGAGGCCGAGAGTGGGAAGCGCCTTCGGCTCTTTCCGGAGACTGCGAGCGGTCGGGATTCTTCGGAGACGCTCGGGGGCGTCTTCGGCGGCCGTTCGGGAGAGCTCTGGGGCTGACTCGCCTCCTCGGGAAAGATCGGCGAGGGGGGCTTCCCAGGCTCGCTGCGGCGGGGGTGCGGGGTGGAGGCAGAGACCAAAGGCGAGGTCCGCCAGAGCCCTCCCCTGCCGCCCGGCCTCCAAGAACAATGGCAACGGCCCTGGAGCCTGCGGTCCGCAGAGCCCTGCCCGCAGGGACGGGAGGCGGTGAGGCGAGAAACCTCGGTTACAGTGGAAGGAACCGCTTAACCGGAGTGAAACCGCTGGAAAGAAACCCGCTGCGTGCATTTATTAGCATAATAAGTAGCACTCGCCTGCCCCTAAGGCAGTTCTCGTCCATTGTGTCGACACTTCGCCCTCCCACACTCCAAGAGGTGAGTGGAATGAGGAGCCTCACTTCCAGAGCGCCCTAAAGCCGGGAGAAGAAAAGTGACTGGCCCAAGGTCATCCAGCCGGGAAGGGGCAGAGCCAAGCCTGGAGCCGAATTCCACCTCCATCTGGAGGAACCTTGCCGACTCCCAAGTTGCCTGGGGACCCTCCTCATCGTATCAGCAGCCTAGAGTGAGGGATCGGTGGACGGATTTGTCCAAGGCCTGCCACATGACTGGAGCGCCCCTTGACCAGCAGCTCCCCAATGTCTTATGCGGGGGTAACATTGGTCCTTTGCTCCCCACTGGGCCGACCAAGACCACCCAGCCCTTCCCCGCACACCCCACCCGGAGCAGGGGGCCTTGTGCTCGGCACAGGTGATTGGGTGGAAAGGAACCACAGGGATCTACGGAGTGATCCCGGTAGGACTGCTTACCAGGCACGTAATACGCATGATCTCGTGCAGTCCTGCGAAATAGGTAGTACCCATTTTACAGATGAAGAAACTGAGTCGCGGGAAGGCGCAATACCATCACACAACGGAAGCGCTGAGAAAATTGAGGTTCAAAGCGGACAAGAGATTTACCCAAAGTCACAGAGAGTGGAGTTGACAGAGTCAAAATTCGAATTTAGTAATGACTCCTGCTATACTGCTTCACACTGCCTTCATTTTTTTTTTTTTAATTCACATTAAGCTCTACACATAGTGGGTTCTTAATTCTTGACAGTCCCTGAGAGCTCCATATGCCTCATTCCCCATCTCCAGACTGGAAGACAGGAGTTACTTCATACTCTGGAGTCCTAAACCATTTGGATTTGTTATACCTGATGACAGGATTGGATCTTCTGCTCTTCTCCAGGCACGACTGGCTCCAGGAAAAATTCCCAAGTGGTTCGGTTCCCCAGATTCTCCTTCCTGGTGTTCTGAGATCTCAGACTTCCTTATCCCAGTCAAAACCTGTTCCCAGGAAAGAATTTGGCTTCTCATTTACACTAGAGTGATAACAGACTGATAATTCCTTAATTGCTATTCTTTTCTAAGCCGTTTCATTTTCTAGCTTAATAATAGCTGCAAGCATCAGGTGATTACTGTGTGCCTGATCTTTGCTAAGCACTTTGTGAGCATTATCGCTCTTAAAACGGAAAGACCTTGGGCAAAATAATGTAAAAGTCGCTGATAAGATTCTGCCCCCAGGCAATCAATGAGGGGAGGCTTACAGAAAGCAAAGTCAAAAAGGTAGAATGTTCTTTCATCCAGAAGCATGGCCCTGCTCAACATCCCTCTCACAGTGCAGCTAGTATTTATTAAACACCTACAATGTGCCAGGATACAACTCTGCTAAACATTTTGCTTAGATTAACTCTTACTCCCCTCAACAACTATATACAAGGTGTTATTTTATCCTGTTGACAGATGAAGAAACTGAGGCTCAAAGATGTAAGGAAGCAACCTGTATAAAAAAATTTTTAGTAGGCTCCACATCCCAGTGCGGGACTTGAACTCACAACCCTGAGATCAAGACCTGAGCTGAGATGTAGAATCAGATGCTTAACCGACTGAGCCACCCAGGCGCCCCTCAACCTGTATAATTTTTAGGTGGAAGGGCTGGTATACAAACCCGAGGCATCTGGCTCCGAGTCTGATGTGCCACATTTCCTTCAACATAGCAACCTCCCCAGCTGTGGCCAGAAACACCATCAAGAAGCAAAGCTGCGGGCGCCTGGGTGGCTCAGTTGGTTGGGCGACTGCCTTCGGCTCAGGTCATGATCCTGGAGTCCCGGGATCGAGTCCCGCATCGGGCTCCCTGCTCGGCAGGGAGTCTGCTTCTCCCTCTGACCCTCTTCCCTCTCGTGCTCTCTATCTCTCATTCTCTCTCTCTCAAATAAATAAATAAAATCTTAAAAAAAAAAAAAAAAAAAAGAAGCAAAGCTGCTTCTATGAACTTGCCTGCTGAGAGCCCTCCAAGGTTCCCCGCACTCGCATTGTCTTCAGGACCCAGTCTAAATCAGAGATCCTTCAGGACCTGGGCTCTGCTTCCATCCTGCCACTCACATCTAGAGCAGCAACCACCTTAGTCTATTGCAAACAAAGCAATTTTCCTTCTCCCCCAGCGGCCTGTCCACAGACTGTTCCATAATATTCCACAATAACCACAGTTATTGGTAGAATAACCCCAAACAACCCTCTCCCCGCTCAGCCCATTGGCTCACTCCTGCTCCTACTTCAAGAGTTAGCTCAGACGTCACCTCTTCCAGGCATCTTTATCTCACTGCCCAAGCGGAGCAAGGCACCTCGCCTCCAGGTTCCCAAGACAGCAGATGCTTAGCTCCCAGGACACTCTGTTGAGCAACTAAGTACAGACATTGGAATCAAATTATCTGAGTTTGATTCTCAGCCCTGCCTTTTATTAGCTGGATGACCTGGAAGAAATCACTTAACCTCTCTGAGCCTCAGTTTTCTCATTTGTAAAATAGATTCTACCTCCTATCATGAGAAATAAGACAATAAATACAAGGGTACTTAGGTGGCTCAGTTTGTTAAGTGTCTAACTCTTGATTTCAGCTCAGGTCATGATCTCAGGGTCCTGATTGAGTCCTGCAGTGGGCTCCTTGCTCAGCCGGAAGCCTGCTTCTCCCTCTGCTGCCTCTCCCTCTGCTTGTGCCCCCTCTCTCTAATAAAAGGGGAAAAAAGAAGAAAAAAAAAAGACAGCAAATGCAAAGCATTTAGCCCAGTCCCTGGCTCATAATAATTGTCAGATATATTACTTAGGCATTTAGAATATCCTGAATATCTAGCACTCAATAAATAGGATGTGAAACCTGCCGAAGGACAGGATAATTGTGAATTGTCAGAGGATTTCATGTTATCCTGGAGTCCGGGGTACCCCAGAGCCCAGGCTGGGCCTCACTATACAGAGAAAGAGAAAAACCAGAGTATCCCAGAGCAGGCACCAAAGGCCCCCAAGAGGGGTGTTGTACCTTTGACCTCAGCTGTTCCCAGAGCCCACCTGCTGCCTCCAACACAGACCTCTTCAAAGAGCCAGCAGACAAATGAAGACTTGGTTTATCCATCTCATGGCTGGGTGATAGAGTTTTGCTTATTTGTTATCATGTGGGGTCAGTGCTCTGTTTCTCTGAGTGAACTGGAGATTGGGCTCGGGAGGACCCCTTAATTTCTTGATTGAAAACTTGAAAGTATTGTTGCAAGCTGGAGTTCTCTCTCCCCTTCATTTTTCCTCCTGGAGGGGACTGGCCTTTTAGCATAAAGACAAGCCATGTTATGCCAACAGAAGCCATCTTTAGTAGACACAGAGGGGTTTGTATATTGTTTGCAGTTCCACTCAGCGATATGCAAATATCCACCAAGGGTAGAGCTGGGCATGAACCTTGGTGGCCCGAGATCTAGACCCTCGGCAGTTAAGACCTAGAGATGGGAAGCCACAAAGGTTTAAAAACATTTAAAAAAAAGGGGGGGGGATTGAAGACTGAGGAAGGAGACGCTTCAGGGCATCCATCTAAAGAGGGCAGGGGGGTGGAAGGAGAGAAGCCCCAGTGGGAAAAGTAAAGAAACTGTTTACCCCATTCCATGCACCACAGTGAGCATGTTCATAATCAGCCATGAAGGCTCTTCAGTGAAGAGCCGTACCAGCAGGCCTTTCCCAACATCACAGGGCCCAGTGGTAGGGTGCCATGTGAGGGTGGTGATTCCTTGCAAAGGTTTTAAACTTCAACACAGATCTGGATTCTAACCTTACAGACCAGTTGTACTACCTTAAGTAAGTTTTCTAACTTCTCTGGGCCATTTGCAAAATGACCGGGAGGTCTGCCTCTAAAGGATTAAAGCAAGACTTAAAGCAGCCAGAGAGCATCACCAGGGCCTGGGGCTTAAGAAGCACCTCGACAAAGCTTAATTCCTGTCCTGTTCCCTCCAGGGCAGGGGGGCAGCTGCTCTAATTTGCTGCCGTTCTCACTTCTGGAACCAAGTTGTCCTGCCCCTTTGCCCACACAGTGTGTGCTGCACAGTCCCTTGCTCAGCTACTCCTGGAAGTGATCACAGCCCGCGCCAGCCACTTCCGGCTGCAGATAGTGCAGCTTCACCAGGGTACAAGAAGGAGCAGAAACTATTCTCACAGAATGGTTCATTAAGATGGTAAACTTTATGTTACTTGTACTTTACCACAATTTTTTAAAAAGTATTATCACAGAGTCTGGTCAGGACTGAAAATACCTTAAAGATGATCTTACCCAGTGTTCTGGTTTTAGGAAGAGAGCCCAGAGAGAGGAAAGGATTTTTTCAAGGTTACACAGCAAGAGAACAGCAGAGCAGAGACTGAAACTCCAGCCTCTCTTCACTGCTAGGCCAAGGACTTTGTCACTAATAACCATCCTCCCATTAAGAAGTCTGCTGCCACCCCCCTGGCCTTTTCCCACTTCCAGCATTGGCCATTCCTG